ATGACCTTCCATTTTCCGCGTGACCTAACAGCCAGTAACTCCAGGCTGGCGGTCGGAGGGCCCGGGGAGCGGCGGGGGCGGGTACGGGCGCGGCTACCGGGGGGGCTCGGAGAGGGCGTGGCAGGGGACGGGGAGGGCGAGGAGGCCGATACAGTAAGTCTGCAAATCTACTGTCTTGTAATAGTATTGTCTAAGAGTCTTAAGTATTGAATTTCAAATTAAAATAAATGTTCTGTCCTCAAGTTATATAATATGCAGCCAGTATTATTTTAAATCTGTATCAGATATCTGTATATCTGTTAAAACCGTCCTTTGGTGCAATACACTAGCTGCACAAGCATGGGGTGTGGCAGCCTCTGGTTATATTACACTAAATGACCTGTCTCACTTATACTTTGCACATCTAACTGCAACTATTGTTCAAAGCTATTTTGTTGGGATATCCCTACTTGGTGCCAACAAGTTCCACCTACAGTAGTTCTAGGGAAATACAAGTTTTTGAACACCTCAATCCTTGACTGATAACTCTTTGAAGAATTTATTATAATATCTTTTCTGGGCACCTTTTACAGTTTTTGAGTAGTAACCTGTGTAGGAAACTTGGAGGTCATTTGACTGAAATGCCTGATTTTTTAATGTTTGTACCTTGTAGGCAGCAGCAGGGCCTATGAGTATGTGTATGAGGACCCAAATGCAGAATTTGTGGACCCCGCCCTCCAGACTGGGCAGTTTTTCTACAACAGTGACTACAGCTTCATGCCTATAGATGAGACTGTCCTGAAAGACTACATCAGGAAACAAGTGTAAGTTATGGCAGTTCTCCCTTACTGGGGATTTCATCAAAAGTTATATCTTTTAAACCCTCTGAAACTGAATTGGGCACTTTTAATACTTCTGATATTTCTACTTATAAACTGTGGATGCTTTGTTTCTCCTGCAGGGAGTATTACTTCAGTCCAGAGAACCTGGCAAGAGACTTCTTCTTGCGCAGAAAGGTGAGAGGCATTTTCTTCAACTCTTCCCAATCATTCCGTGTCCACGCTGGTCTTATAATACATGTACTGCATACAGAACAGAATTCTCTTGTACATGGAAGACATAATTATCCTTCAGTGGCTACAGCGTATTTTGTGTTAGTATGTCTGAATCCTGTTTTTGCCTGTAATACACGGAGTGCATGAACATTTCTTTCAGCCAGAAGTTTGCTTGCAGTATTGAAGTTGTTTGTAATGCTCTATCATTCTAATGTGTACCTGTGTATGTTAGAAGCTAACCCGACATGTTGTCTTGTTTGTAGATGGATGAACAAGGGTGGATCTCCCTCAGTCTGATCGCCAGTTTCTACAGAGTACAGGCCCTCACCACAGACCTGGGGCTCATCCTGCAGGTACTGTCATTCACTTTGTCTTCTTGGTAGCAAAATTTCACGGTCTGAGTCTTCATTTGTGGCAGCAAGTGCAGGGAAGGTGAGGGGACAAAAGACAAGTTATAACTGTAATGATAAGTTCATGGTACAGAAGTGACACTGAAAACATAGAAGTACTGTGAAAAATTACAGTACAGTTACTGTAATAGTTCACTGTTGTTGAACTGGGGAAACTAGCAGCAGTATGCCCACTCAAGACATGGGTTGAACAATGGGCTGTACATCTTCTCAATGATTCTAAATTTTGTTGGAATAGAACAGTGACATCATTAGCAGCCATGCAGTGATTTGGCAATGCAATTGAGCAGTGTCTCCTGTAGTATTGTAACTATTGTTTGAACCTTTTACTAACACTTGTTTTTCCCTTCTCCTTGCTGCAGGCCATAAAGGACAGTGAGGAACTGGACATGGAGAACGATGAGAAAGTTCGCACCAAGGTGGAGCCGGAGAAGTGGCCCATCGCGGGCCCGCCTGTCCCGTACACGCCGGGGAAGGTCAGCGGGAACGTGGACCTCACGGCTCTCGTGGACGCGCCCGTGTTCATCCCAGGCAAGCCCTACGTCCCGGGACAACCATACCACGAGCCCAGCAAAGGTACCGTCAGAAGACTTACCTGTTCTCTTGGGTAACCCTTACCAATATCCGTGAATAGTTTCAGTGGGTTGTTTGAACAAAACACTTGGTTGTGTAAAAAGAATCTTTTTATTCAGTTCCTTACAAATATGATCCACAAGACTTAGATTTTTTCTGTGTCTTAACATGGATATGGATGGCACATTAGGATACAAATTACAGCACAGAAAAAATCAGTGGCAGAAATACTATCTATTTGGTTCTCAGTATAGGTCCTTCTGTCTTAGTATATAAGGGCATTGTTGTAGACACGAGGTTCTGATGGCACAGTATAATATCTTACTGTAGTGTATGTGAATTTCTGTTGTTTTGCCATTTCCAGAGTATGAGCCCACCTCCCCTCAGCAGGCCGATGACCACAGGGGTTACGGGCGGGAGGCCATGTCAGCTCACCTGATGGTCAGCAGTCGTGGCCTGTCCACAAGCCTGCCAGACCTGGACAGGGAGCTGGAACTGGACAACTGGACAACGGTCACTACCAAGAAGCAGCGGCATCCCACCCCATCCAAACCAAAGGCAAGGGTGACATTTTTCTTTGTCAAAGTTTTAACAGACCTGAATTGTGGCATCATGATTTTAGATCGACTACATGAAAGAAGCATTTCTCTATTTGATGCAGCCTAGTCACCAGAAGAACTGATGATGATAATTATGGATGATTATTGTGATTATAATCATTATCATTGTCAACACTTTGACAGTGCTTTTTACGTTGTCAGTGTGTTGACTGTTTCAGGACAACACCTCCAACTCTCAATGGTCTTTGCTCCAGAAAGTTGTTGTTTCCCGTAACTTATCCCACAATATAGTTGACTTCCTACATATTAATACACTAACAGTAATTATAGTTACTCAAGAAAACAGTTACTCAAGCAACTGAATAGTTTTCCAGTTGCTTGGGTAACTGTTTTTTTTAGTACAGTATCTCATTACCAGGATGCTTGACCTTCATTGACGTACACTGGTTGTTGTTTGTTTTGTTTACTTATTGCCGTCTGGTTTGGTCTGTAGACTGAGCAGAGGTCAAGAGAGGAGTTTGGAGGAGATCAGGAGGAGCTGGACTTCCTGTTTGATGAGGAGATGGAGAAGCTGGATGGCAGGAAAAACACCTTCTCAGAGGATCTGTGAGTCTGCATCTGTTGTTGTACTGAGCCTGCAGTTCTGCAGAATTTTGCTAGGTGTCTCTTCATGCTTAGCAGTTGAGTTGTGTAAAGAAGTTGCATGCTCACTCAAGATTGGGTTGGAACATGGACTGTGCAGCTTCTAAGTGATTTCAAAATATGTCGAAGCACAAACTAGAATAGTGATATTTTAACAGTCAAAATCTGGACAGTTGACTTAAATTGATATATGATATTGATGTACTATCATGAAAGTTCATCTGTGTTGGTAGTTACATGTTTAAAGTTAAGACTTTTGGTCCAGCACAAAAAAAATTCTCTCACCTAGAGCTTTCGACCAGTCACTCTGGTCTTCCTCAGTAGACTGACCCAGTGAGGCTTGTCACTTGGCTTCTTTAAAGTGTGACGTCAACACTGGGATATTGATATACATTGTAGATACACAAGCATAACATGAGTATATCATTTATAAAGACATTAAGTTCTCTCACAAAAATCATAATGGTACAACAAATAGGTTAGAATGGTGTAGTTGTTTGAGATAGGAGTTGGGATGGAATAGATAATATTTTGTTCTTGAGTCAAAGCTCATTGTAGGAAATCTATGGGAGTAAATAAGCAATAATGATTCTACTGTATGATGTGTTATAAGACCAACCTGTTAAATGCACTTCTGCCCTTCAGAACGGATGACTCTGACTATGAGATGAGCGACCACGAGGTCAACAAGATCCTGATCGTGACACAGACCCCGCCCTACCTGAAGAAGCACCCCGGCGGTGACAGGACCGGCAATCACGAGTCGCGCGCCAAGATCTCCTCGGAGCTGGCCAAAGTCATCAACGACGGGCTGTACTACTATGAGGAGGACCTATGGACGGAACATGACTACGAGGAATTGAAGGTATGGAACAAGGCAAGTTCACTTCATGTTGTCTTGTGATGTACGTGTGACTGAGTGTTGAACAAGTGCTAAATTTTACTGACCAAAACTTGACCGTATGCCTAAGGTATGTCCAGTCCAGGTACAAAAGTGTGTGGTCATTTTTATTTGTCCATTGTTGTGTTCTTATGTATGTTTGGCAAGGATAAAACTGCCTTCTGTAGTCCTATCTATATTTGGTTTTAGAGTAAGGCTGTAATGGAGCTGTAAAACAAAGCATAAACAAAATTTCTCCATCAAAAAGTGTCTCAGGCAGTTATGAATTTTTAAATTATCTGTGGCAGGATGCCAGACTACCCACTCTCGTCATGTCATTGGGAATTGATGCACAGCTTGCACCATGCAAAGTTGGCATTCTGTACCTCACCGCTATATTGTGAAAAGAAAATCCTGGTGAGAATTTGTGTGTGACGATGTGTCGTTTCTCCTCTCCCCCTGCAGCAAGAGTTTACTGGTTATAAGAAGGTGGACGTGATCTCTAAGGAGGAGTTTGACCAGATGGCTCCTGGGAAGCCGGCTGTGACGCACCAGAAGGTGCCGCCACCCCCACCTATCCCAGCAACCCCTGCAGACACTAAACCTGCAGACACTGCAGCGCCGGCAGGTAGGGATCCTAAACTAATCCTAAACAGTAAACAGAGCGTGTACTAATCCAAGGGCCTTGTTAGGAGTTGACTTCATGGCATTTCTCAAATACAGTCAAGCCTAATCAAGAAGGTCACCCAGGAGACTGAGAAAGATTGGTCTTCATGAGATAAGGTGATCAGTAGGTCAGGTTTCACTGTAAGTTACTTTGTTTATGTTGAATTTATGTATGCCTAAAGCCTGTCACACACAGTGTTGAGGTAAGTTGAGTTGTGTAGTTGACAATAACAAAAAATTTAAACAAGGATACAAAAAATTAACTGAAAGTTCAGATCACAAAATTTAGCCCAGAATGTATTTGCTTGAAGAGCTTCCAAAATTGGTTTGTGAGCCATGTTGAGGTTATAAGGGAGGTGCGTTACTGATTTTCTCCACCCTCTGTTCCAGAACCGATCCCTCAGCCTGCCGTCATCCCGAAGACCAACACCCAGGCAGGAGCACAGCTGTCCCAGTCCCTGCCCACCAACATCCCAGACACCCCACAGTGGACCCCACGTGGGTCCCGCACACCCAGGAGAAAGGACCCACGCAGATCACCCCGCTTCTACCCGGTCATCAAGGACGGCAAGCAGCCTGACACTTCGGTAAGATTCCTGCAGATTTGTCAGGCTACAGTACTTCATCGATAAGCTGTATGATTTTGCTAGAGTCTCCATATCATCATGTAAGGTAAAGGTTTTTTCAGGCTGTGAAAAAATTTAGAGTAGGTGGCTGAAACGAAAAAGTAGTAGGCGAGCCATGAAGGGGTTTGTAATGGAGACTACAATGTTTTTTATAAATTTACATGAAAGTAGGCGGCGCAAAAATTTGGAGTAGGTGGTGATTTTCGCCTGTTGCCGCCTTGTTTTGAGAAGGCTGGCTGTGAATTGCCACTGTGTCTTGGGCACATGTTTTTTTTAAGGTGGAGTCCATCCTTTCCTTGCACACAGTCTTTTACCTCCCCAACTGAAGTCGTTTTAGATCTGGGGAGTTAGGAAATTTGTTTCAAGTAGTGTAGAATGTTAACATTTCCCCAAATCAATCCTGTTTAAATTTTATCCCTAATATCATGTTTGTGTTGTTTTTTTTCTGGTTTGATTCCCTGATGTCTGATTTCGTTTGTTTTGTTGCTGCCATCCTGTAGACTCCCCGGAAGCGTAAGACCAAGTACAGCGCAAACCCCCCCATGGAGAGCCACGTGGGGTGGATCATGGATGTGAGGGAGCACAGGCCACGTACCACATCTACAAGGTTTGTTAGGTCAAGTCACACTGTAAAAGTGGTAGATACCATATAGTGTGTCATACTTAACCTTTGCTGTAATATGGAAGTTAGGAAATTTTTTCGACGTTATGACTCCCAAACTACTCTGTTAATGATGCTTTGCATTTGCACTTAATGCTCAGTGTCAGCTACTACATCTGAAAGTCTTTGAACAAGAGGAATACCAAAAATACATTCTTACATGTATGATAAGAGGGGCAAAAATTCCCTGTGTGGGAGTTACTATGTTTCAGTCTGTGCTATAAACTCAGATTGTGTTTTTTTTACGTTCCTGTTACAGTAGCCTGAGTAGTATGAGCCCCTCGGAGGGGGCCCCTGCCACCAGCTATGGTACGCCCCAGTCCATCCCCAAGTTCCAGCACCCCTCTCACGAGCTGCTGAAGGAGAGTGGTTTCACCCAGCAGGTCTACCACAAGTACCACGCACGGTGTCTCCGAGGTGAGCGCCCCTACAGCAAAAATATTCAGCCTTCTATTCAGTACAAGTTTCTAACATTTGTCAAAAACAACAGAATACATGTGAGATTGTGGTGAAAATGAGTCAAGTACCGTAATTCATTTGTCTTCACGGTACCGTTGCAAAATTTCACTTTCAGAGGAATGCAGACAGATTCATAAAACAGTAGCGGGAGGAGGAGGAAGGGGCAAAAATGAACAATAATTTGATAATGGTAAATGACAAGTTCTGGGTTTGCACTGAAGGGACTGTGAAAACCATGAACATAAAAGTATGGTGAGAAAAATCATAATTTTAGCACATTACATGAACACCGATACAGTATAGTTTGTGCTCACCTCTATGGTATGTGATAATGATTTGTTTTGGCTGTTACAGAGCGTAAGAGACTTGGCGTGGGCCAGTCACAGGAGATGAACACTTTGTTCCGGTTCTGGTCCTTCTTCCTGCGGGAGCACTTCAACCGCAAAATGTACGAGGAGTTCAAGAGACTGGCACTGGAGGACGGCAAGGAGGGATACAGGTGGGCTCTTATAGGGGTTATCAGAAGCACAGAACTGTGCACAAAGATGGAGAGGTGTATTACATGCCATCTTCACCATGACCTTATCCCTACTAATTTGTGTTCAGTTGAAAATGAGCGACGTTCAGTTGAAAATGAGCGATGTATGTTTTGTTTGTGGTAGGTACGGGTTGGAATGCCTGTTCAGGTTCTTCAGTTACGGTCTGGAGAAGAAATTCCGCTCCGAAATCTTCAAGGACTTCCAGGATGAGACGTTGAGAGACTTTGAGTCTGGTAAGTCGTGTGATTTCATTGGTATATCAATGTTTGACTAAAAAGGTTTTTAAAATAAATAAAAGAAAATTTGAAAATATCTTTCTGTGTTCTAAAGTCCCATGGCTTTCAACCTTGACTTTCAGCCATTTAATGGTGTGACAACTCATCAGCGGTGTTATCTGTACTGATACATATGTGCCCCCCTCCCCCTCCAGGTCAGCTGTATGGTATGGAGAAGTTCTGGGCCTTCCTGAAGTACTCCAAACAGCGGGACCTACAGGTCCATCCCAAACTGAAGGAGGCCCTCAAGCCATACAAGAGACTGGAGGACTTCAGAGTAGATGTGAGTAGAATGGAATTGTTGTTTGGGGATGCCTACAATAGTGGGTGAATGTGGTATTCATCTTTGGTGGATCTGAAACAGGATAGCATTCGTTTTAGTTACATGTATTTCTATGCTATCAGTCAGTCTATAGTGTTAGCCTGTAGTGTTTTTGACTAACCCTGCCTTGCTTCGCAGCCTCCCCATCATGCTGACGACGAGACTAAGAAGTCCAGCGAGGCGTCGGGGACCAGCCCTTCCCATGGTGCCTCAGGATCAGGGACCAGTGCGGACGGCAGGGCCAGGAAAGGTGCAGCAGGAGAGGACAGTTCCAGGAAGGAGAGTCAGCAATAACACTCAGGAACATACTACGGAAAAAAAACACTTCGGTTTTGGAACCCAGAGTGCAAAATAACCCCAGAAAACCAGCCCAGGACACCAGCCAAACGGTGTGTTACAGATAAAAGGGATATTTTGAGCTCTACGTTCCATTCACAAGATGTGCAGTTTCAGGCGTACCCAGAAGCAAAGGAGCCCACGTGGATGTCACCCTTGCCCTCTCGAGCTTACGACACGAGGCGTCTCGTGTTTACTACGGGGGTATGTGCTGCTTCCGTCACTGTAGCTTTCCCACGGGTCTGGGATCCTGTTTTAGTTTGATTTGATGGAAGGAAGGTTTTAATTTTGGATGATGGAAGGCAGTGGATGTGGTCTACTTGTGATGGGTCTAGTGGAAGTGAAGGTCCAACAACTACTAAAGTGTGAGGGATTGATTCTGTTAAATGGGACAGAAGAAATCACAATGTAATACATGTATGTTTGGATGTTTTTGTTTTGAAGTGATCAGCTCTTAAAGAAGCCCCAATGGAAAGAATACAATTATCAGGACATATTTTACCTTTAAACCCTTCCTGTACTTCACTGAATTTGTACTGGTACAATGGGAGCTTAGAGTGCTGATGGATAAATGCTTTGGTGAGGGGAAGAGAAAAACGGCCAAATTACTGTGTTTTGAGTTTGTTTTTCAACTTAAAAAAAAAATACCCAGATTAAGATGATGTCTGAAAAAGACATTGCTGCTAACCAAGCAAGTTTATGTAACGGATTGCCAAACGCAATAAATGTAAATAAAGTGAACTACGCAGATATTAAACCTGCCCAGAACCAATTTTGGATTGGACATGTGTGATAGATCCAGAAAAACAGGTGTTAGAACTTCTGTTGAAATTGGTGATTTCATTTGATTTTTTTACAGTGATTAAAGCTATACATGTACTGAAATTAGAAGACAATTTATGTGATGACTGAAAGTGAAGAAAGAAAGAAAAAAGAGACAAAAAATTGTACTTAGTACACCTGTCACAAGGGCTTATAGTTCCCCAGTCTGAATCTTTGGTTACAAATTTATGCATGCTTTGTCAAACAAGTGCAGTTATGCAAAATGAAGGTAGATGTACACCATGTGCTTTGCCAAGATTTTTGATTTCTTGTGCAATTCTTGTTGGTTCTGTAATTTATTTTCCTTCTACGTCACAATTGAAGGAAAGTGTTTCCATTTTACAAGAAGCCAAAATGGCCTTTATCCGTAGCAAGAGGTTTGCTATGACAATAATTCAGTTCTTTCTATGGAATACAAAGTCCTATGCAGTGGCTTCTCAGTTGATGAATGTTTAAGTTCAGATTTTTAAAAAACTGATTCTACTGATAAGTAGTTGTGGCTACAAGATGTGGCCTGTGAGAGAGAAGTAATGTTGCCTGGTTGTACAGGTAAAACAGTTATTCATCAGGTTTCCAAATGATTGTTAAGTTCATTGTTTTCCGGTTTTTAGACCATACCTATTTGTTGCCACCAGAGAATGGCAGTTGTGACAAATGAATTTTGATGAAGTCCATCGTACTGCCTTCTCACTACAGAATATTTCAATCTTTCTTGTTTCCTTTGACTGTTTTGAACATTTAGTTACATTTTTGAAGACCCATTAAATAAAATTTATGCAGATATTAGTGTGATAAATGCATACTAGATGAAAATAATAGGATACTGCCATGTGGCATTTGACAATAGTTACGAGTTAGTGTCTTCAGAAGTACAATTCAGCTATCTAAAGTTCAAGAGAACTGGCCACCTATTCCGTGAACTATCCTGCTAATTTAAGAATGACAGCCAAATGCGTATTAGTACTTTGGATACATGTGTACATGTAGCAGCGAGATGTTGACCACATGTTTGTTAATGTTATTGATACAAGAGTAGTGACCATACGCCTACGCGCTGGTGTATAGCAAGCCAATGTTACAAAATCAACAATGTATAGTTACATACTTGTATCCATTATTACCATGCAAAAATGTAATACAGTGCCTCCTGTGACTGAAATGATATGCTCTCTGGTCGGTAATACATAGCAAATACTTATACTGTACTCTAAGCATGAATTATTTACTGAGTATGAAAATCTGGACACGGTATTTGTACTGACAAGTTGTTGCCAAATAGACGTAAGAACATGAGTCCCCACACATGTGGAATCTGTCATCTTTAGATGTACCGTCTTCCCGTAACCTATGTGGTAGCTTGTTATCCAGCCTTCTCCAGCTCTGGTTACTGCAGGTATCAACCATTGGGAAGTGAACCAGAGCCGTAGAATACTGAATACCATGCTACCAGTTTGGTACGGCGATTGTGAATTATATCCGTGTGTACATGCCATGAAAAAGAAAAATGAGAAAAAAAGTTGTACATTAAATTGTAATTACAAAACGATATCTACCCACAGATCTTGACCGGATCTTACTTGGATTGTTAGTGTGTAGTTGAGTAAAAATAACAGTAGTGGGATTGTATCTATATTATTAAACTTGTTCTATGTATGATTTAGTTGTTGATTGTAAGCATATCTGTGGTATGGCAGAAAATGTTGGTGAGAATAGGTGCTTGTATATGTTGATGTGTTAGTTGAGAGTAATCTTTTTTTCTTCAAAATTTTTGTTCTTCATTCTGACAGGAAAAAATTCTGTTTGGGAACGTTTGTTAACAACAGAGGATGTAATGTTCAACATGGAAACTCAGTTGTCTATGGTTAAGTTTAAAAAATTCAGGCCAATGTCAACATTTGATCTCATGAATTCTTTATCAATCTGTAGATGGTTACCTTTAGAACTTTGTTCATTTCCTGGCTAATTAAGTAGTTTTATGCATATTTTGTTTCTGTAGCAACCAAAAAATAATTAAAACATTTTTAAAAACTCCCACAACTTGCTTCTTTATTTGTGATGTATAGGAGTTGGTATGTGTGTGCGTGCTGTGTAAGTATATGCCCTCTGCTGTAAACCATGTACCCGTCTATATTCATTCCTCTTTCCCATTGGAGTAAATACACAAAAATCCAAGTCAATGGTGAGAAACTTTATTTTCTGTCACATATAGCTACATCCCATACTTCCCCATAGTACAACTGGATAAATCAAGCAACTGGACAAATTCTCAGTAGTCGGACATTTCATACAGCTGCAGCATCTGCTATCTATTATTAGTGAGAGAGTTTGTCAGTAGTCTACATGATTCACTGTTGAAAGAGTTACTCTTAACTAAAGATCTCCCTCTATACAATTCCCCAAGAAAGTTGCACCCAATTACTAATATTAGAATATCATGTGTCAGACATGTCTAGTGTTCTCTTGCTCAGGTATTTGTAGCCATGTCACAGTCATCCGGTATATGTAGCTTGACTGTTCATGGACAATTTGTAGCCAAATGGCTCCTTCAGTGTGCTAAAGATTCAACGATTGTTACATTGCTACATCCTGTTGACTGGTGTGATACCCAGGATGGAGAAGCAGGTTGCCAGGATGGAGGCCGTGACCTCACACAGCAGCAGACGACCCATGTTCACCTTCACCACCTCACCTGCAACGGGACAGGAAACGGTCAGGATGGATGACAGATAAATAAAGCTCAGACTGAGGACAAAAGTACTTTTTCACAAGCTAGTAGTGCTTATACCCAAGCACACCAAGTCACCCCTACTCTTGTTGACTATTCCAGTCATGTCCAGTCCTCTGGTCAAATTGAGACTGCTCCATCTTGAACTGGGCTAACTTAGAACTGCAAAAGTTCACTTTTGGTCAGAAGTTACTTCAGAATGTTCAACAGGGTTGATTTTTAAAGAGTTCATATTTGCATGGAGATAGGATGAAACGTGATGCATTTGCTCACAAATGCTTCTGGCACTCAAAACGTTGCCTGCTATATCAACTTTGTTGTCTTTGCCTCTTTGACAACTTTCACCACATTCACATACTCATACTAACATAAAGGATCTCTGCCATGCATCAGTTCCCGACCAGCAGTTGTCCGTACCTGTTTTCCTGTCCTTCTCCACACAGTAGCAGACGTCGTAGAACTCTGTGAAGGTTGTGGACAGCTCGTACATGAACTCACACAGCGTGTGCATGTACAGGTCCTCCAGGATCTTACTGATGATCTCAGGGAAGCGCACCAGACACTTGGCCAGCTTCCACTCCTTGGGATGGTCCAGAGACACTTCTGACGTCTGGGCAGCCTTCTTCAGGGAGCTCTCGTCTACTTTAGCTAGGCGAGCAATGGACCTAGCACGGGATCATGCAATACGATGATCACATTGTGGCATTTTGATAAACTGTCTGTTAATGAGTTTGTTTCATATACATGTGTGTAACTGATAAACACCAGGTTTATGTTCTGATTGTAAGAAGAATGACCCACCTGATCCTGGTGTAAGCATACAGAAGGTAGGCAGCCGTGTTACCTCGGTCATCCAGCATCTGAACATGACAAACACATTTGACGCTGTTGATGCAAATGTTCAAGTCTTTAAATACTGTTTGCCTACAGAAGACTGGATCTAAAACCGATGCATACTAGTAGTTTTTAAGGAAATATTTCCAACAACATAGTTCTTACACCCTTCTCTCATCCTTGACATTTATCTGTTTAGTCAAGAATAAGGAATGCCATGGTACCGACCCTGTCGAAGGAGAAGACGTAGTCGTTGGTCCTGCTGTGAGAGAGGTCAGCGTACTTGATACAGCCGTACGCCACGGCTTTCTGCGCCGCTTCCAGCTGCTCAGGGGTCAGTTCCTGAAGGATCATGGGATAGCTCAAATGTCAAAAATACAGGGAAAAAAATTTAAAGGAGAAGCAAAATGGGTTTGCAATTCTAGTGGTCAATTGTCAAGATCGAGTCAAAACTAGCTACACAGAATTTGGCAAAAAATCAAATCAAATTGGGAGACAACTATAGAATGAAAACAATTTCTTGCCGACAATACTTTAAGTCTCTAGCAGTGTAAATGTAGCGTTTTCAGTACCTTGTCCCTTTCCTTTTCCTTAAGTTTATCCAGTGACCTTCGCAGACCTTCATCCAACAGGTCACTCAACCGCACAGTTTCTCCAGACCTGGTCTTAAACTTTTTCCTGTTGATACAGTAATATGGCAAATTAGGAAAACTGCAATAATTACCATTCCATACAGATACAGTATCATAGGTAACAGGAAATAAGAAGATGCCTGCTGCACCCCTTGTTAGTAATTGAATGTAAAGAAGAAAAACAAATTCAAATTTTATCACTTTAATGTATGAACTTACTTGTCTTCCCCAAGGACCACCCCAAATGGCGTGTGGTCCACCCGCTTTCTCTTCACATCGTACCAGCCGGCTGCCTGGGCTGCTGCAAAAATACACTGGAAGTGCAGTCCCTGGGAACAGAAATTGAGATATTTGGTCAAGGTTGCATCAGAATTTTGTCCAATGCACATGTTTTCTCAGTTCTGACTCAATTTTTGAAAGCTACAGATGTCAACCTTAAACACACAAACACGTCCTTAAACAATACGTTCTGCGAAAGTGCTATGTATGTTAAAATGTTCCAGATTTCGTAGACGGAGTGTTTTCTCCACCGTTCTTGTTTGTACGACCTCCAAAGATACATTCTGTGCATTACGTTCCCAGATTTCATGCAGGCACATGCGTTCTGCTGTAGTGCTTGTCTGTACTAACCTGTCCTGACTCCCCTTGAATAAGCAAACATGACCCTAAATGTTATGTTCCAGATTTTGCACAGGTGTAGTGCATCTTGCCGTATTGCTTGTCTGTACTGACCTGTCCTGAGTCCACCACGTAGATGAGCCAGTCTCCGCGCTCCTCCTCCAGGCGCTGGCGGATGGCGGCCATGTCTGATGTGTCGTACGTGTACCCGCCGTCAGACTTCACCACGGTCAGCGGAACAGACGAGGCGTCGGTGAACAGGACCTTACGCCCCTCCTCTTCCTTCAACAGGCCTGGGGAAAACAACGTGTCACCATTCCTTAACACCATCAACATTGGGAAAAATTTCTTTCCTTCTTACACAGAATAAATGATGCACAGTTAAAAACATCAGAAATCATAAATATAGATTCTTTATCATTTTTCAATATCTACAAATATATTCTTTGCACTGTTAAAGACACAGTTGATCAGAATGAGTAGGGCTAACTGTTGAATAACTGTTAATGAGATCATTTTTCTTACATTTTTCTTACAATTCCTTGTTTCTAGAATCAAAGATATGAAATCAACATTATGTTTCTCCTTCTCTGTCAAGGACTATAGACTATCTCATCATACCTGTTCAATATGTACAGATGTATTATTTGCACTGTTAAAGACAAGGGTACAATGGATGCTTTGGTGTATAGGATGTACAGTACCTTTTTCCTCCAGTTCTTTGACCACCTGAACCATCCTGTCCTGGTAGAAGGACTCTCCCCGCTCCAACAGTTCCTGGATGTCCAGTCGCTTGTACACCTTCTGGAACTCTGGGGAAGATCAGGTCTAGGCATCAGATCTATGGCTAAGTTCCATTTTTAAAACTTCTGGGGCAGAAATATTGTTTTGGGCAGTGCTGGTTTAGAGGAGGTTTGTATGTTTGGGTTCCAGAGTGGCAGCAGTGGCACCTTGGTGACCTCCAAAATATGTCAAAACATAAGTCTCCTGAAAAAATCAGTAATTACAATAGTAATTAACCTGAAAGTGTGTGGGGGGAGGGGTTTGTGCTTACCCTTCCTGGAGACATCACAGATGAGTTCCCAGGCCTTAATGATGTCAGGTTCTCGACTCTGGAGCTTCACTACACAGGAGTACGCTCGCTTCTTAAACTCCTCATCTGAGTCAAACCGCACCTTGGACTCCTGGAGCAAACCACATACACAAAACATTGTCTTTACACAATTGATATACATTACTCTCATTGGAACTTCAAACCAATGATGTCCATTTAGACAGATGTATTGAAGGACATAAATAGTCCTTTTCTTTACAGCTTTCATGACAATAGCTTGGAATAATATATGGTAGTGAAGAAATGATGGGTTTCAACCATGTAATTTTTTTGACGTACTGTATACAAAGGCTTTGTCTCTTTTAGGGACCTTTAACAAAGTTAGTACATCTCAACAAACCTTAAGATTGAGTTATTTTTCTTACACTTTACTAAGAAAGACAGAAATGAGTGTACATCATGTAATATCCAGTACATGTACCTTATAAAAAGCCTGCAGGTCTCCGATGGGAGGTGAAACTGACACATAGTTTGGGAACTTGTCCTGAAGGTGGGCAATCAACATTCCAAACTGGGTCCCCCAGTCTCCTACATGGTTCAGTCTGGTCATGGGAACAAGAGAACATTCTTAATTTGTAAATAAGGGCTTTACATGAAGGCTCACATTAATAAAACTGTTCAAAACCTACCCGAGAACATCAAACAGTTCCAATACACTCACAAAAACCAAGACACTTTCCGGAAGTCTGAAATGTCTGATTCTTCGTTGAAATCTGAAAACTTTTGGAATGGCTTCAGGAACATGTAAAACCTACCCAAGGACGTCATGCCCAACAAACTTCATGAGGCGAGCGAAGCTGTCGCCGATGATGGTGGACCTGAGATGTCCCACGTGCATCTCCTTGGCGATGTTGGGTGAGGAGTAGTCGATGACGACCCTCAGCTTCCTGTCCACGGGCGGAGGTTTCACGCCTTCCCGCAGCACCGTGGACAGGATGGAGGAGACAAAAGACTTGCAGATGTGGATGTTGATGAACCCTGGACCTGCAATCTCCACCTAGATCATACACAATAAGAAGACAAATAGCTTAGGTTGAGCTTTCATTTTCAAATAGTCTTGGGAAACACGCTGTAATTCTGGTAGTACAACTCTGGCTGGTTCTAGTTCTCTGGTTTTAGTACCAGTAACTTGAAGTAAAAAAAAACTATGTGAAATATACCTTGTCAATGATACCATTTTCTGGCAGATTAGAGACAACAGCCTGGGCGATCTCACGTGGAACAGCCTTCTTCCCCTGGGCCTTCAGTAACTGGAGCAGAGAAGGAAGATCCAAAGTAATGTGACATGACTGCATTGCAAGTTTGATATAATGAATTGTAAATAGAGAAAGGAATAGTGATACTGATAAAAGGCTAAGGCAATCATCCTCAATTGAGGTGAAGCTTGATGCTTTTCCACGTCAAGCTATCTTGTGTTATCCTGGCTTAGCTTAGCCTTTGCTGACAAAGATTATGTATTGTGATTAAAAATTTCTTGTAAGTGTATGTTTCCTGTAATCACCTGTCCGATGCTCATGGCACTGTTACATTGGTAGTCCCCAAACTTCTCCTGTGTGCTGAGAGTGACCATGACCGGGGGGTCAGCCAGGCTGGGGAAGGCCTGGTGGATGGACAGGCTGAAGATGTCCACCAGCTGACGCTGGATGTTCAACATGTGAGCTGGCTTCCTGCCCTGTTCCTCTGCCAAACTCTGAAAGAAAAGAGGTTGTAGCATGTAGTATTAGTGTAATTTACTACAAGAAATCAGAGATTCCAGACCTCCGGGAAATGTTTTGGGTTTGTGTAAATGTGTTGGAACTGTATAATCATTGGGAAATACCTGATTGAATTGCATCATAGAATGTGTTATTTCTCATACAATTATATGACCTAATTTACTCCGGTATTACAGCATGGTTTATGTTTCATACCTTGATTACAGAGTACTACTGTCACTAGTAACAGTACACATTCCTGGCAACCCCATACCACACTCACAGCCCTACTGTAGCCTGTCAATCAACTGAAACCCAATCTCTGCCCACCCATATAAACCAAAACCATAAAAATTGTGACTAGAACTTACTCTCTTGAGCTGGTTGGCCTGATACTTAAGTTTGGAGTTCTCGGTGTACAGTTTCTCCAGCTGAGCGTTGTTCTCCTGGTCTCTTCGGATCTGGGCCAGCTGGTTTTTCAGGGCAGCAACTTCTGCCTCCTAATGTTGTTTCAAGAAAAAATATCCAATTTGCATACATCAGAGTTTTTGAAGTTGTAATTTTAATATCTCTAGACTAGAATATTGCACTCTTGAAATCATTTTTTATCATAACACCTTCCTATTGTGAAAACAAGCGTAGAAACTTAGAAAGGCACACAAAGTACATGTTGTGGCTAAGTAATGCAAAAGAGCATGCAGCCATTCAAACCATGTAATTAAGTCATAACTTTAAATATATAAATCAAAGAAGGTGCACATTAATTTTTATGTGACTCCACATGATGGAAAATACAACTCTTGTCCTTAAAATTCTGGAAATTCCGATACAATTGTGACTGGTTATGTAGAAAGTGAAAGGAAGTCTACAGTTGTGCTATAACATCAGCCCCAGGTATTTCAAAAACCTCACACGTGTTGCAACATACACTCAAGCAGTTGCCCCTCCCCTTTCTCCAATCTGTGGAGGCTTCTACAACAATATTTCATTGCCAACCTTGAACTTTAACTGTTGTTTGCACGCCTGTGAATGTTTTCTAACTTTACAGCAAGCCGTTGTGTTGTACGATAACTATAACCCACCTGTTTTTCAACTTTTGCCGTAAACTCGGCGATTTTTCCGTCGGTGTCCGCCATTTTGCCGGAGGTAACCTTTGACCGTTTCTCGTACCCGGAGCGCTGTGGCACGGTGACCTGGGTTCGAGATGAGGTATTTACCAACATGGCCGCCTACTCATCAATGGTGCAGACCTGAACGCGTTTCTGACTGATTCCACGAAGGATTTTCCCCTATTCCTCCAGATATGATCATCGGAAAACGTTAAATTTATTATAGGGAATCGTCCACGCTATTCAGGACACTGAGAAAGGTAAGGATCATTCTCTAGGAAAAGGCTATATGCCCTATATGAAATTTTTTCAAACCTCAACCAAGGAGGTTTAAAAACCTTGCCTCATCAACTCCAAAAACAAACTAAAACAAGAAGCCATAGGTGACAATTCTCCGTGAAGTTTTATATATTTCAACAAAATCCCAAGCGTCAACGCCAGACCTACTGTGCAGACATTATAATTAGGCAACGGTTAATACAATGAGGGCGCGTCACAAGCATAAAACATACAAAGAGCTAAATCCATTACTGCTCCCAGGGCGTGTAAAGATACTGTGCTTCAAGTTCTAACTTCATTTTAATTACACACACACAATCATTGCATTCACATAAAGATCGGACTATCATGGTCGTGTCTAGTAACAAAGACAGCCCCACCGTCTTACGGTGCCTGTACCTAATTAAGCGCGCCTGGAACAAGCCAAATTCCAGCAACAGTGGCGGTAAGCACCGCGAGTGTTACTACCGCCGGCCAGATAACCAGGATATCTGCTTACAGTACCTCTGCTACCAGACAACTGCCTAAACCTACGGTCT